TCACCGCTTTAACATTGTGACTTTGAAAAAATATTAAGACAAATTTATCAAAAAATATCACTGTAACACAAAAGAATCCTATTTCATTGTACCATGGGACAATAACTCCATGATTTTACGTAATAAACTAATGAACTTTGTCATGCGATTAATGACCAATTTTTTCAAAAAATTATGAGTATGCTTCTACCTTAAGTACAGATAGCTAGTAATCATTTTATGATAAATAATCCCTATACTCAGTATGTTATTTTTATTGAATGTCTATAGTCACATTAGGCACTGTAGATGGCGCTATTTCTTTCTTTTTGCAATGTCTTATCTATTTTTGCAGGTTTAGCAGATCCCCATGCTGTTGGCATAGCAGTATCAGCGTACCAAGCATGTCAAAGTCTAGGAATGCCAGAATGTGATGTAAGTATTATTTATTGAATCAAAGCAGGTGGATAATATCAGAGTCAGAGTAGGTTCTCAGTGTTTTTTTTTTTACCATTCTCAGAATGCTTGTGTTAAAAGTTTCTTTCTTTCACAGGTTGTTTTAGCCCAGTGTGCCATTTACTTAGCAAGAGCACCAAAATCAACCGAAGTATATAGCGCCCTCACCCTGGCGAAAAGCAGCATCCAGGAACATAATGGGCCACTACCTTGTGTTCCGTTGCATCTGAGGAATGCGCCGAACATTACAATGAGGAACCTGGGATACGGGAAAGGGTACAACCCAAGGAGAGCCATGGTATTCATGCCTCAAGGAATGCAAGGTGTCAACTTTTTTAGTTAAAGAGATCAACTGTTTAACCTGGATTGATTGATTGATTGATTTATGGTCACACAGAGTTTTATGAAAATGAGCAGCTGTTAGTGTAGTGGTACATATCTTGACTAACATGCTGAGTTTTTATAATGTTACATTACTATATTTGAATGTTTGTGTTAGGGAAGTTAATCACTCATTCACTGTTTTTTTTTTTTTATTCCTGTATTAATATTTACAGGTTGTGCAATAAGAATACATGTATCACAGTTCATATGTGTGTGTAAACTGTTATTTGGTTAGTTGTTGTGGTGTTGGTGCTTATTCACTGAATCTCAAATGGATGGGTGTGATTCCATTCTTGTATTCTGACTCAGCACCATGTTTGGG